AGATAGATAGATAGATAGATAGATAGATAGATAGATAGATAGATAGAAATAGAGAGATAGAATAGAGAGATGATAGATAAACATAGGTGATGGATGGATGGATGATAGCATTTTTTGTTTAATAGATAATTTTAGATGTCTTAGAAAACAGATTGGTATTCAGAGGCAATGACTGACCATATTAATTGTATTTGTTCTTCATATGTGCAGACCACTAAAAATGACACCCATGTCCTTTTGGGAGAATTGGGTCCATGCAGTTCTTCAGACAAGCAGACATGCCTTAAGTCAGTAGTGCTACTAACAGATCAAAGGAAGAATGTAAGTTTAATGAAAATGATAATGGTATAGTTATTATCAACTTGTTCATCCATACTACAATGTCTTTTATTTCATTTGATATCTGTTTCTCTTTGTCGGCCTTAAAAAAATCAGATGATGTTATACTTTTATTATTTCAAGAAATTGTAATAAGTATTCACATTTATGATTGTGGTTGCTGATTATACATAGTTGTGTGTGATTTACATTTATTTTGCTGTTATTTACATTGATAATATGCTATGTATACAATATGTATTAACATTATTATTGCCCAACAAAATTTTTACATTAAATAGTAATGAGAATTATTTTCAACAATTATTTTTATTTTATTAAATTTATTAACCACTCATCTTACTGCAGGTTAATTCTAGGCAGTTTACAATATTAAAAATAACTTTCTTCTTGATCCATTACACTTTTGTGATTTAGCAAGCAAAGCTAAGTAATATGTACTGTTAACTCTTCAGTGAGGGATGGCAACCAAATTCCTTCTACAGTGTACTTTTCAATTGGCTGTGCAGTGGATAGCCACTATTGGGAGGTCATAAACATTGGTGAGAGGTAATCTAGAGTATTATAAATTCCCCTCAGTGTTTTCTGATCTTTGCAACTTTCAGAGATATGGACTTCAACTCCTGTAATTCTTAGTAATGGATATTTTATCTGGAGAAAACTGGGTAGTGAAGGTGACACTTCAGGAATTTGCTATCATTGGGAAACATTTCCCTGGAGGAAAAGTATAAAGAATGCAAAACAATCTGGCCAGCCCGGAAAAGAAATTGCACGGACGGTGTTTCCTCATTCCTTCACTGAAAACACAGAAGAAGTCATAAATATAGCTGCCAATTGTCAAAATGAAATATAGTGATCTAAGTCAATTTATTTAAATTTGAGGTTTTAACTGCTTTCTTTCACCAGTTAATTAAATATTGTATAAAGAAACTGAAACATTAATATGTGCTGTTATTTATAAAATACAGAGCTTTTGTTGTCATTCTAATATAATAAAACTCCCTTTTTACAACCCTGTAAATTGTAATGTTCTGTTTTAAGGATCCCCACAAAGTTGTACTGACATAGTATCTGTATTTTCTCTCACACAGATTGTAGTTTTCAAATCAGATGGCAGTATATTACTGAATGAAATGGAGATTCATTTGCCATACAGAACAGGTAAAGAAGGGAACCATTGCTTCTACATATTCCAGCATTGCCTAGATTGTCGCCAACCTTTTGGATCTCAGGGACCACGAAACTCATACTTTTAAATCCCAAGGACCACTAATACAACTTTTAAAAAAAGCTAATATATTTAATATATTTTTTATGTTAAATATAAATTTTATACACACACACACACACACACACACACACACACACACACACACACATATATACATACATACATATACATACATACATACATACATACATACATACATACAGTATTCAGCTTTGTTCGGGTATTTTCCCACGTCATTATAGTTGTGCTTTTAAAGTTGTAGCAACGTTTTGGCAGAATCTCATCTGCCATCATCAGGCTTCTATAATGATGTGGGAAAATACCCAAACAAAGCTGAATACCATACATATAAATACCTGCGAAAACTTAAGAAAACATACATATACATACACATACACATACACACACACATACACACACACACACACACACACACACACACACATATATATACACACCCACACCCACACACACACACACACACGATACACACACACACACACACACACCTACCGCTGTGGCGACTTTGCCTGCGTTTCCGAGGCTTCGATGTTGGGAGAGGCAGCAAGGGCTGGAAAATGGGAGAGCTGTGCACGTCTCCATCTCCCTTTCCTTTCCTGCCTGCACGTGGGTGCAGGGGGACGAAAGAAAGAGAGATGGGACCAATTCAAAGCAAGAGAACTAGTGGGGAAGAGCTGACAGCAGGTGCTGGGGGAGGGGACTGCTGTTGCCGCCACTGGCAGGTGTAGGAGCTGGTTGGTGCATGCATCTCAAGGGCCTGACTCCAGGGTCCCTCAGAGAACCAGGAGGTGCAAGAACTGCACGGCCCAGATTAATTGCTTTTGGGGGCCATTTCTTCTGCAGCCCGCCAAAATTTTTCCATTGCCCACCAGTGGGCCGCAGCCCACCGGTTGACAACCGCTGGTCTAGACAACCTTCTGTTTGGGCTTTAAGATATTAAATAAGTTAAGAACAAAAGGATCACTGACATGTGGGATACCGTCAAATAAAAGTGATATTGAAAAGGAAGATTGAGATGTATTTCCATGATAATTTCAGTAGCTACTTATCCCTGAATGTGCTTAATAATGACTTATAATTCATGACTCTTTCATTTTTCATTGTCTTCTTCCCCATAAAAAAAACAAACATCAATGTTCTAGTTAACTATTCTTACTCTCCTGGAGAAAGACATTTAATATTATTTTCTCCCCTTTCATATTAAAGATAGAGGACAAATTGATTACATTTGGCACAGGTTGACTAAACTTTCCCTTTGTTTTTCTAGGTAGTTTCTCCATTTACCAGCCATCATCATTCTACACTATTGTGCACACAAATTATGGGTTAAAAATGCAGATCCAGCTGTCCCCAGTGATGCAACTGTTTCTCATTATGGAGGATTTTGCCAAGGGAACTCTCCAAGGCAAGTCAAAACTTTATCTACCATTAGAGGAAATGTAAAGATTTTGAAACATCTAGAAACAAGCAAAGTAATAACTAGCAATCAGCACGGGCTTGTTAAGAACAGATCATGCCAAACCAATCTTATTTCATTCTTCAACATAGTGACTAAATTAGTTGACCAGCAAAGTACTGTGGACATCATGTATTTAGATTTCAGCAAGGCATTCGACAAAGTAGGCCACAATCTACTTCTTAGTAAGATAGAAAAAAGTAGAATAGATAGCACCACCACTAGATGGACTTGCAACTGGCTGGCAAACCATACTCAACAAGTATCCTTAATGGGTCTAAGTCTACATGGAGGGCAGTAAGCAGTGGGGTGCCACAAGGTTTCGTCTTAGGCCCAGAACTCTTCAATATCTTCACTGACGACTTAGATGAGGAACTAGAAGGGGAACTTACCAAATTTACAGATGATACTAAGCTGGCAGGAATAGCTAACACCCAAGAAGATAGGCTCAAGATCCAGATGGATCTTGACAGACTAGAACATTGGGCCATATCTAACAAAATGACAGTCAGTATAGAGAAAAGTAAAGTCCTACACTTAGGCAAGAAAAACCAAAAGTATACATATAGACTAGGTGAAACCAGGCTCAATACAGTAACTGTGAGAGGGATCTTGGAGTCTTAGTGGACAACCAGCTAATTATGAGCCAGCAATGTGCAGCAGCAGCCAAAAAAGCTAATGCAATCCTAAATTGTATTAATAGAGGGATACAATCAAGATCAAGGGAAGTACTAATACCACTCTATAAAGCCTTAGTAAGACCACAGCTAGAGTACTATATCCAGTTCTGTTTACCACATTACAAAAAAGATGTTGAGACTCCAGAAAAAATACAGAGAAGAATAACCAGGATGATTAGGAGATTCAAACATATGAAGAATGGTTACCGGAACTGGGCTTGGCTAGTCTAGTAAAGAGAAGGACCAGGGGAGACATGATAGTGGTATTCCAATATTTGAGGGGCTGCAACAGAGAGGAAGGGTCAAGCTATTTTCTAAAGCACCTGTAGGCAGGGGTGGGATTTTACCAGTTTGCACCTATTCACTAGAACTGGTTATTAACATTCTAAGCAGTTCGGAAAACCGGTTGTTAGAAGAAATTACTGGCCTAATCCTGTAAGGAAGGCAGGAAGGAAACATTCTGGTGTTGCTTACAGAAACTGCTTCTCCGTTAACCCTTATTACATTCTTGGCAGGACTAGACTTCCTGTCTCAGGAACTTCTCTGGAGTTTTTTCCCCCTCCTTTGCTGGTACTTTGCTTGTGTGGAGTGACCATTCAAAGTTACAATGGCACTGAAAAAAAAGACTTATAATCATTTTTCACACTTGCAACTGTTACAGCATCCCCACAGTCATGAGACGCCAGGTGAGGAGATATGTGCCTTGATGTGAGTGATACTGAGTTGGCCACATCCAGACAATAACATGACCACCAAGCCATGTCCACACAGTCACATGACCACCAAGCCACGCCCACCACCTAAGCCATGCTTACAGAACCAGTTGTTAAAAATTTGAATCCCATCCCTGCCTGTAGGCCAGACAAGGAATAATGGATGGACTGCCATTTGTCAGAAATGGTGTAGTGTCTCCCACTTGGGCGAGGGGTTGGACTAGATGACCTATAAGGGCCCTTCCAATTCTGATTATCTGACTATCTGATATCTGAATGGATTTCTTCTATCCAACTTTTGAATAGTAGTGTTGGAAGAAATCTTCATCTGGGTTCAGTTCCAAGTGGGAAGAAAGACATGGAAACATGAGGCTGCTTGGAAGGTTGGTTTAATGGTGAAGCAGCAGCACCAAGCATGTGTGATTCTGGGTAGCTGATCATATGGAGGGAGACAGATATATATTTATACCCTCTCTTGGGGCCTTGCCCTAGAGCTTCCTGATCCTGTGGCAAGGACATATATCCTATTGGCTGCTATAGGGATCATGTGCAAATCCTAGGAGTATGTCTGAGATAAGCTTGGTTGAACTATGCTGGGTGACGTAAGGAAGGGGCTCGTGTTTTGAAAGAGTGTTGGGCAATTCCTATTATGGCTTAATGGTTTTTCTCCTGGTTTGGATCTTGAGGGAGGGCTAATCCTATCACCCTGGAGCTGAAGGCCTTTTGTTTTGTAGATAGTCTTTCTGGGGCTATTAACAAAGGTGGGGGCTGCTTTCCAAGATCATGTTTCTCCTTTTCTTATTCAGGGAGGTATAATATTCTGCCTTTTTAATATTTCCTAGAATATTTCATTCTTCTAGGAGAGGGGTGGGTGCTAACTTTCTACAATAGAATGGAATACCAGCCAAGCTATTATTTTGTGGCTCTTCCACCTTATAATGTATATCCCAACATTTAAGATTTTTTTTGTTGCTACGTATGTTGTTCAGTTTGATGTTTATCCATTTAATGTCTCTATATGTGAAATAATCTCACAATAATTTGTTCTCATATAAAACAAAGCTACTTTGGAGTGTTTAATAGTGCTGATTCAAAATGTTAACATGAAGAGGCCTAAAAAAATTCAACATTAGACACACTTTTCTCTGAAATCCCGACTCTCCTATTCCCTTATTTATCATTCTGACTAAAAAGGGTCACCTCAGAAGTTAACTTTCTTGCAATAATACAATCAGGAGCATTGACATAAGTAAGAACTGATGTAAAACAAAACAAAACATTAATATTACCTAGTAATGTACATGTTGGTTTAGAATTACTGTTCGGTGTAATGGGAACTTATAGAGCCATGATGGCACAGTGGTTAGAATGCAGTATTGCAGGCTGACTCACTGCTCACATCCTGATGGGGTTCAAGGTTGATTTAGCCTTCCATCTTTCTGAGATCAGTAAAATGAGGACCCAGACTGTTGGGGATGATATACTGACTCTGTAAGAGAGGACTATAAAGCACCATGGGATGGTATATAAGTCTAAATGCTATTGCTATTAATAATCAGAAAATCTTACAAAAACAACAAGTTTCAACCAAGACATTCAATTGTTTTTATCAACAGGACTTTGCGGAGATTACAATGGAGTAGAAAGTGATGATTTAAAAGCATCAGGTGGAGTGGTTGAAGCAACAGGAGCTTCCTTTGCCAACTCCTGGAAAGCACAAGCTAGCTGTAGTGATATGGAAGATAAGTTGGAACACCCTTGCTCTCTGAGTCTTGAGAATGGTAAGGGATGCGTGGCTTTTGTCAATAAATTCCCAAATCCACTAACATCAAGATAATAAATAGCCTATCTCTAAGTCTGGTCCTAATTGCAAGCTGTAATCTTTCATGTGTTGCATATATCTCTGCCAACCCAAAGGCTTTCAATTGAGTATTAGCAGCAATTTTCAAGCTCTCTTTTTAGAAGATTCATTAAAAAAAACCCAGCTGCTGAAGATAGAGAAAATTTCCATTTTGCCAATTGCTGTTATGAAAATGGATGCCAGGCTTAATGCTTCCTAAAGAATATATTTTTCTTCTGATGATGCTCTCTACTTCCAAACAAGTAAAGATTAGGGAGATTAAACCTACAGAGGCAGTATAGTTCTCTGGTGATCTGGTAGTTCATAATATCCATTGTTTTATACATTCCATTGCATAGGGTTGCACAAATTCATTGCTGTCAGCTTCAATATAAGAGCTATGTATTCAATGCTTAAGGTGCTCATTTTGCTTTCCTTTACTGTGTGGTGATCAAAATATCTGAACAGTAGAATACTGCCAGAAACATCATATGAGAAACAGAAAAAAAACATTAAATAGCTGGTAACCAAGTGTCATTGCTCTCTCTGGTATAGAAAAATATGCTGAATACTGGTGCTCTTTATTGAAAAGTACAAGAGGTCCTTTTGCCAGATGTCATTCAGCAATTGAGCCAACAGATTATTATAAGGTATGAATTTTTTAAGATCTTGCTGATCATCCAATAGTTTAGACTTACTTTAGGTCACTTAAAACCTGAGGCTTTCTGCATAGTTTACTAAGCATTTTTTTTAAGAACTTGGCTTCAGGCATACTCAAATGGCAATGGTTTTTGTTTTAGTGTTTATGCATCTATTTGAGCTCCAGTACAGCACTGCAGCCAATGTCTATTTTTTAACCAAGGCAGTAGCTTTCCTTTAGGTGGTTTGCCCTGGGAGATGCAACACAGTCTGTTTTCAGCTTTTAAAAACACATTTTTTTATATAAAATGGGAGTAGTACACTCCAGTATGTGTGGGGGAAATGGTTGGAACCACTCTGGTTCAGCTTAGATTTTGAAAGAAAAGGAAAAGGAACCTCCCTTATGTTAACTCTCTAGATCCGTGTTTCTCAGTCTCAGCGCCTTTATGGTTGGTGTACTTCAGCCCCTAGGATTCTGGGAGTTGATGTCTACCAATCTTAAAGCAGACAAAGGTAAAGAAACATTGTTCTAGATGTGCCTTTAGTCAGGAATTTTGGGAGCTCATATGGAGGATGACAGACTGAGTGGGAACACAGGCCATTCCTAATACGAGTTTCTTGCTCTGTATTATTCTTCCCATCACAATTTGTACCATTCTTAACGCAGGTCTTTTGTTGTGTCACTGCACTTCCATTGCAATTGTGGAATAGAATGCTGCATTCTGCTAATAGCTATTCTCAAGTGCCTGTTCTTCACCCATTGACTCCTCTCATTAATCTGGGCTGACTGTTTCCTTGATTGCTATTTGTTTCAGCGTTGCAAGTATGATACCTGCAATTGTAACTCCGATGAACAATGTTTGTGTGCTGCCCTATCATCTTATGCCAGAGCCTGTACTTTCAAAGGAGTCCTTTTGTGGGGCTGGAGAAAAGAGATCTGCAGTAAGTATCTCCAATTTCATTCTGACTGGGTATGACAAACATGTTTCCCTTCTTCCTTAATCCATTGATATCACTACCTCTTTTTTTTAAAAAAAAATCAAAATAGGACAGCCCTGGGTTAACAATTAAGCAAAATAAGTATGTGCTTAGGGTCCAAGGGAAACCCACAGAATTTCTTCACTTAGCTATCATGCCTTTAATGCTTCCCTTGCCATACTCAATTTTAATTTTCATCACTAATTGAATCTTAAGGACTTATTGGTTAAGCAATGGAAGGGGCACCACTCTGGGACTGTGTTCAATTGGCTTTAATCCAGTCCTAAAACATGGCATATCTAGATAAATTGCATTTGAGGGAAAAATACTAAGATATACTATTTATAGCAACAGGGAAGTTCATAGGATCATGATTAACACATTCAGAAGAACTTCATAAAGCTTTAGATCACAGAATCTATTTTTAATCATTCCCTACCTTTATATGTCGGTGTAATGCTTTTATTAGTAGTCAGTTTTATCTATCTATCTATCTATCTATCTATCTATCTATCTATCTATCTATTCATCCATCTATTTAATTTCTATAGCTGCCCTACTCTACTGGGTGATTCTGAATAGTTTACAATAACGATACAATAAATCTTAAATGCTGCTTGGTAGATGGGAAGGTAGCATAAAAGAATGCAGAAGCTGTATCCAATGGATCTTGGATGCTTATTTATGAATGTATGATTTTCTCCCTTAAATTCAGACAAAGAAGTAACTTCTTGTCCAGCCAACCAAGTTTTCCACTACAATCTAACCACATGCCAACAGTCCTGCCGTTCTCTTTCTGATGGAGATAAGTACTGCTTGAAAGGTTTCACTGCGGTCGATGGCTGTGGCTGCCCAGACAATACCTATGTGAATGAGAAAGGCATCTGTGTGTCTATGTCTGATTGCTCCTGTTATTATAAAGGCTTATATACACAACCCAGAGATTCTATCATGAAGGACGACAAGCGCTGGTATGTTGTGAAAACTGATTCCTCTGTTCCAGTTTGATGAGAAGATGGGCATTCAGCACAAGAGAACTTTAAGTGCTGAGCTACATTTGCAGATTAAATCTGGATGGAGAATTCATCAGCACATTTCAGGGAACTGAATTAATTATTTGGTACAATTCAGTGGGATGTTCTTTCTCCAAATCATCAAAAGATAGAACTAAGTATATAGTACATGTTGAAAATCACTACCCTTTGCAGTGCTTTAGAAATTCTTCAGTAAGGGTGGTAATGAAACACATATATTGCAAGTCAGTGATGGCATTCAAAAATGTTTATTACCGGTTCTGTGGGCGTGGCTTGGTGCCTGTGGCATGGTTTGGTAGGCATGGCAGGGGAAAGATACTGCAAAATCCCCATTTCGTCCCCATCCCACTAATCTGCTTTCCAGCTCCGTTCTCCTGTGCAGGGCAACAAAAGACGACCCAGCCAATCAGCTGGGACTCAGGAAGCAGAGAATAGATGGGGGTGGGGCCAGTCAGAGGTGGTATTCCAAACTACTCAAAATTTCTGCTACCGGTTCTCTGAACTACTCAAAATTTCTGCTACTGGTTCTCCAGAACTGGTCAGAACCTGCTGAATACCACCCCTGTTGCAAGTGCAACCTTACACACATGACGTGTCTATTTAAAAGTATTTCCTTTCCTTATGATCCCAATTGAGCCCAAACTGTATGTTGCTAAGTGAGAAATTTGTTACATGAGTTTTGCCCCATTTTACAACTTTTCTTGCCCCATTTGTGAAGTGAATCCCTGCAGTTGTTCAATTAGTAACACGGTTGTTAAGTGAATCTGGTTCCCCCATTGACTTTGCTTGTCAGAAGGTCACAAAAGATCACATGGCTCCAGGATACTGCAGCCGTCATAAATATGAATCAGTTGTCAAGCATCCGAGTGTAAATCACATGACCATGGGGATGTTGCAATGGTCACAAGTGTGAAAAGCAGTCATACTGTTTTCAGTGTCATTGTAACTTCGAATGGTCACTAAACAAACTGTGGCAAGTCAAGGATTACCTGTATAGCGTTTCAGTGGAATATATTTCTAGGGAAGAGGGGAAACAATTCAAGTTCAGAATGCTTGAATTCTTGTGATAACTTTAAAGAGTAATACCACAGGTACAGTATTAATTATCCACCATTTATTTATATGGTGGATCCGTGAAAATGAAGGAATGTTGACAGGAATGTTGTGCATTTAAAACATTATGATAAACATATGAAATTATGTGGCAGTCCTTATCAAATCACTGAAATTTCTAGTTTGGTTCCTTGTATTCTTTATTATTGATATACCATTCAGGGATTCAAAAAATCACTGTAATAAAATACACTTCCATTAAAAGTATATAAATTGCAATTTGTTTGTAAAGTTCTTATTGCTACTGTTTTGTAATTTTATTTATCCCGCCCCCATTTTTTTTTTTTTTACTATTTTTAGTGTTTGCAGAAATGGAAGATTTCAGTGTGTAACTGTGGATATACACCCTCACAGTAGGTATATTTTAATAATACACACATTTTTTCAATTTGAGCTATGTGTTGAATGACTCATTGTTTTGAAAATTTCCTTTTGACATGATTTACCATAATGCCACTTCCTTCTGAACTTACTAGCTTTTCATTATATTATTATTATTATTATTATTATTATTATTATTATTATTATTATTA